ATCCAAAATCTATAAGGAACTCACACAGTTTAACACCAAAAAATAAACCCAATTAAAAAATATGCAGAAGACCTGAATAGACATTTTGCCAAAGATGGCATACTCATGGCCAATAGACATACAAAAAGATGCTCAACATCACTAATCATCAGAGAAATGTAAATTAAAACACAATGAGATATCACCTCACACGCATCTGGATGGCTATCATCAAATCAACAAAGCGTTGGCAAGGATATGGAGAAAAGGGGACCTTCATGTACTGTTGGTGGGATTTTAAACTGCTGCAGCCACTAAGGAAAATAGTATGGAGGCTGCTCAAAAAATTAAAAATAGGCTTCTGGGGAAAAAAAATAGCATAGATGATAGAGGCTTTGTTCATCGCTCTTACGACCACATCAAAATTATGACAGAAACACAGAGCAAATGGTAAGCAAAGTTGCCTAGGATCTAGATGAACGGAAGCACTATAACTAGGGAGCAAAATAATGAATCAATGTGCAATGAGAGAATGTAGGAGACGGTGAAGACGCAGGCTGCCTGGTTTCTAGTGGCTGAGTGGAACAGAGGCTGGGCAGCAGCAGCCAGCCCCTGCAGATGCCTCTTAAAGGGGCTGAGTCCAGGAGAGGACTTTCACGATGATGGACCTGCTCATTCTGAGCACCAGCCCTGGGCGGACTCCACGGGGGGCACCAGGGACATACAGGGGGATAGTAAGTTGTCGGAGTGAGGGCTGGAAGCAAGGCTTTCTGCCAGGCAGAACTGCTGATGGTGTCCATTGTTCCTCTGTTGAGCCCCCCACCCCTCGTACCTCAGTGTGCAGATGCAGCAATGCCATAGCTGAGACATCATCAAACTGGATAACAGAGGTTGCTCCACCCAGATGATTCCTTGAAACTCTGCCTCTCCCAATGCGAGGCCCCACCCAAGCAACATTCAGTTGGGTCCTTGGGGAATCCGATGCACCTTGCCGTGCAGAGCCAAGACTCACACTGATGACAGTGGGCCTCGGCTTCTGGTATGGCATCCTGAGGCAACTATAAGCACAGCATCTGTGGATTGCTTGCTGAATCTTAACAGATGGCCCCGGAGGGGTACAGGCTGGGGCTAAACTTAGCCTGCAGTTGAACTCCTCTCAAGACTGTGGCGCTGGACACCTACTACACAAAGCCACACTAATAAGACTGAGAGACTTAGGAGCTTTGCTTAGTACATAGAAACAGATACAGAAAGCCAGCCAAAATGGGAAGACAAAGAAGCAGAAACCATATGAGAGAACAGAACAGAGATCCAGGAATAATGGAGCCAAGTAATCTAACAGATGCAGAGTTCAAAATTTGCTTATAAAGATACTCAATGAACTTAGAGGAAGTTTAGATAAATTCATTGAGAACTTTAACAAGGAGATAAAAAAGATAAAAACGGAAATGGAAATTATAAAAAGAAACAAATCAGAAATGAAGAACACTATCTGAGATGAAGAGCAGGTTTGAGGGAATCAACAGAGTGTATAAAGAAGAGGATCGAATCGCCGATATAGAGAATGGGGAAGCTAAGGACACTCAATCAGAATAGCAAGAAAAAAGAAACCAAGACTATAATAATAATTTAAGGAGCCTATGAAACACAATTAAAAGTAAAAATGTCCATGTCATAGGGGTAACTGAAAGGCAATAAAAAGTTGAAGAGCTATTTGAAGAAATAATGATGGAAAACTTCCCTAACCTGTTGAAGGAAATAGACATATAACCCCAGGAAGTTCAGTGAGTTCCCCCCCAAAAAATGAACCCAAAGAGGCCCACACCAAGACACATCATAATTTAAATGCCAAAGGTTAAATACAAAGAGAGAATCTTGAAAGCAGCAAGAGAAAAGCAGTTAGTTACCTACAGGGGATCATGCATAAGACTGGCAGCTGATTTCTCGAAAGACTGTGCAAGACAGAAGGACTTGGCACAAAATATTCAACGTGATAAAAACCCAGGATTTACAACCAAGAATACTTTACCCTTCGATTCATTTAGCATCAAAGGACAGATAAAGAGCTTCCCAGACAAAAATAAACTAAAGGAATTTATCAACACCAAGCCAGATATTGGAGGACTTCTTTAAAAAGAAAAAACATGCATCAAAAAAAGGAATAAAGAATGGTTATAACTACATTTCTATCAACAATTACCTCAAATGGAAAAGAAGTAAGTGCTCCAACCAAAAGATAGAGTGGCTGAATGGATAAGAAAACAAGACTCATACATATGCTGCCTATAAGAGTCTCACTTCAGATTAAAAGACACATACAGACTAAAAGGAAGGGGATGGGAAAAGATATTGCCTTGATGGACCTAGAGGGTATTGTGATGAATGAAATAAATCAGATAGAGAAAGACACACATCACATGATTTCACATACATGTGGAATCTAAAGAACAAAATAAACAACAACAACAAAAAAAAAAACAGAAATAAACTCATGGATACAGAGAATATTTTGAGGATCACTATATGGGAGGAGGGTTGGGGGGATGGAAAAAAAGGACAAAGGGATTAAGAAATATCTAAGGATAGATACAAAATAGGTATGGAGATATAAAGTGTAGCATAATTGACAAAAACTCATTGAATTGTACAATGTAAAATGAGCAACTAATTTTATATTATATTTCAATAAAACCAGGATATTCTACTTCTGGGTATTTAGCTGAAGAAATCCAAAACACTAATTTGAAAAAATATATGTACTCCTATGTTCACTTCAGCATTATTTAAAATAGCCAAGATGTGAAAGCCACCTAAGTGTCCATAGACAGACAAAGTGATAAAAAGTGGTGTATATGTGTGTGTGTGTGTGTATGTATATACATACACACACACACACACACAATGCAATATTATATTCCATTATTATATTCCGACTACAAAAAAGAATGAAATCTTGCTATTTCCACCAACATGAATGAACTACAGAGTATTATGCTAAATGAAATAAAACAGGTGAAAAAAGATGAACGCCCTAGGATCTCACTTATATGTGGAATCTTAAAATCAAAATAAACAAACAAACAAAACAAACAAATTCATAGATATAGAGAACAAATTGATGACTGCCAAATAGGAGGAAGGTTGGGGAATGAGTGAAAAAAGTGAAGGGATTAGGAAGTTCAAATTGCTAGTTATTAAAACAGTCACAGGAATGTAAAGTACAGCATAGGGAATATAGTTATATTATAATAACTGTGTATGATATCAGATGGGTCCGAGACTTATAAGGGTGATCACTTTGTAAAATAAATGTCTAATCACTATGTTGATTACCTGAAACTAATATAATATTGTGTCAACTGTAAGTGAAAAATAAATTTTTTTAAAAGGAATAATTATCATAGGGTCATTATGAGGTTTGAATTAAAGAAGATAATCCAGCACAGTGTTTGGCATATTATAAAAACTCAATAAATATTAACTATAATTTTTTTGCAAAAAAAAATTTTGCAATAATTTTGCTTTTCTTTGATTTACCATTACCTTTTGCTTCATTTGAATGACATGATATGTGTGAATTACCCAGCACTGTACCTAACAGTTAGTAGCTCTCAAAATCATAGTGTAGGTGCTTGGGGTCTTTATATATACAATTACTTCTTACTTGATTATACAAGTGGCAATTTTCAACTTACAGAAGCCTTTCATTATGCTCTATCTCAACAAATCTAGAGTCTAAAATATAAAAAATATTGGGTCACTGAAACTGGAAACTACCTGACACTTAATCTTTCATTCCTACTTCTTGGTTACAGCATTTATTAGTGTCTGTATTCACATATGAAAAAATGAATCTAAGAAATATTTAGGGATTTTTTTAAGGTATTCAACAAACCAATAACCAAATAACAAGAAATATTGCTCAATTAATCTTCCCTACTAATCTACTAGTAGACAGCTCCTGGTGATGAGAACTAATCCCTTTCTTTAAAATCTACTTAAACAACAAAAAGTGCCAAATTGCTTTTTCGCGGTAATAAAACTATCAAAAGAAAGGAATATGAAATAATAAAGGGTTGGTCACTCACTCTACATTAGGGTTCAAATAAGCATTAGTGAGTAAGATAAAGATGCAAAGAAAAGTTTAGCCTTACGATTAGAGAAAATGATTTTGACAAGAAAGTCAATCAGACAAGGACATCATTTGCTTAATGAAGTAGTAACAGTCACCAGGCACCTTTATGGAAATGTAGATGTATTTATGGACAGAAGAGTAAGGGTCCCATGTAATTAGAAGATGGAGCAGAGAGGTTCTTTGCGACCTTTTTGTTTGTGTGCTATTAATGACTTGGTGGAACTCAATAAATTAAGAAAGTAAAAAAAGACTTTAATAAAATTTTTTTTCTACTAAACCTTTGCTAATTGGATTTGCCTAGCAAAATAAAGCAAGCAAGCAATCTTGCAGCCTTTGCAGTCACCAAGTTTAAATATATTCTTTACTTATATTAAATCCATTTATACATTTTCATAATGGATTACTACAGATATCACAGACTATCTATAAACATGTACTGTTTACCTTGTATCAAAAGGAGCTGGCAAAGTAATATTTACTTACAAACTAGAAAAAACTTCCAAATGTCTTAAATTTTATAGTTTCTCTTCCTCAAATTACATTTATATATGTATAATTTATATAATTTACAGAACTATGTTATATGTATTTATTTGTATATTTATATAGCAATAATAATTAAATGGTCAAAGTCTAGAACTTTCTCCTAGCCATTTCTTTATCAGTAAGCCATCTTCTGTTGTTCATTCTCCACTGGCTTTAAGACTAACTTCTGGCATCATTCTTTTGAGATACATTAGTTTCATAACCCAATCCAATCAGCTTCTGCTGGGTGACATTAAGAAACGAGGGTGAGAACAGGATGCACTAAGATTGATGCCAGGTTCAGAGGATGGAATTAGAAGCAAGAACAATGCCAAGGTAAATTAAGCCATCTTTTACTTACAGCTGACACGTGCTGCAAGAGACACATGACATCAATCATGTCTGCGAGGATAAGGAGTCTGGTAACTACAGCCAACAAGGCACGGGCGGCTTGAACCACAGCCTCCCTTTTTGGGAGATAACAGGGGTCATCCGCAAATCTCTCAGCTGATATTTTCAGAGCTTCACCTGAAAAACACAACCCCAAATAAGTCATACTTTAAGTTTCAGCTCTGCCTTTTGCAGCATTTATCATCCAACCTAATTCCAAGTACATTCCATGACTAAGCATAATATTTAACTACTGTCAGTTGACATTAGGACATTGTCTCTTAATAAACAATGCAGTTTCAAATTGACATTGTTTTTTTATAAAGCTCTGGCGTTAAGAAGCATTATACCATTTTCCTGCAAGAAAATTGTGCTCAATTGACTAGCAACATCTAGTAAAATTGCTGTCAGCTTCTGCATTTCTGAATCTCATTTCCTGTGAAAGCTTTCATTACTAAGACTTCAACTAGAAACAATTTTGTTTATAAAAATAAGGTAAATCTTCATTGAGTTACTTTCCAATTCAATGGATGTCTGAAAGAGCTAGCCTTTAAGATAATAAGACAGCAGTTTTCTGATAAAACTTTAACATAAGCAGATTAATCCTTAACTGTCAATATAATAAACTATATCCTAAACTTAGCCATAGAAATAATATTTCATAATACATAACTATTAGAGAAATTTGTCTACTGTTTTTAAAGATTTGTCATTTAAAATACATTTTATTTTAAAAGTAACATGTACTCATTCATTTTTAAAAGTTCACAATTCAGAAGGGAATAAAAATGAAAAGTCCCTCTTTACCCCTTTCCAGTAACGTAATTGTTAAAGAATTACCACATCTACTATTTTTTCAGTTTTTCAATTTAAACTTAATTGTAATATGAAAGCAATATGTGTTCATTAGTTTTAAAACAGTTCGCCATACTGAAGAGAATAGAGTGAAAAATTTTTAAGTCTCCAACTAATCCCAAATACCCATTAAGTTATTGTATATCCACTCAGAAAATTTTTCCATGAATATTTTATGTGTGCATACATGTATACACATGTACATATACATGTATATATTTGTTTTATATGTATTTTATGAACATACTCACATATTCATATACATTGATATATGAATGTATTTTTATAGAGACATTTTACATCATAGGAAAACATATAGATATTTTATATGTAATAAATGGAACATCAAAAATATGTAGATCCTTTTCATAAATGGTATACTATAAAATCTCTCTACAATTTGCTCTTTTCACTTATCAATTTATTTTCTTTTCACATTAAGATGTGAAGGAGATGACTAGGAGATAATTACAGCTTAGTAATTAACAGTGTGGGCTCTGAAGCCATTCTGCTTCAGTTTCTGGCCTACTACCTTGGACAAGTCACAACCTCTTTATGCCTCATTTTTCTCCTCTGTAAATATAGCTAATAATAATACCTACAATTTTTATGAGAATTAAGTAAGAGAAGTGCTCAGAACTTAGTAAAGACTTGATTAGCTGGTATTGTCATTTTTTTAATGCTTGACTAAAGTTACATTTTATTGATATACTATAACTTATATTACTAGACCTCTATTGAAAACACAAATCATTTCCAACATTTCCTTATTTAAACAATACTACAAAGAACACTCATGACACAAAACTTTGCATACATGAGAAAATTTAGCTGTAAGATAAACTTATAAAAGTAGAATTGCTGAGTCAAGGGGCAAATGAACTTATAGCCAAAAAATTCTCCAAAACACAACCATCTCACCAACATATGAAAAGGCCTATTTTATCTACTTTACTCCACAAATTTTTTAGTTTTTATTTATTCAAGAACTTCAGCATAAAGAAAATGGAGTAAATTATCTTATTAAATATAACAAAGATTAGTATTCCTTATAAAAAGGAGAAATGGAGAAAACCTATGAAGAGGGAATGAGACTATCTCAGCATGCTAAAATATCACGTTTAGCTCTCTTAAGCAATATCAGGTTAGGAACTGAGACTCTTAAGTCAGACACTTCTGAGATCAAATTCTAATCCGCCACTTGTAGTTCTGAGACTTAGACACAAGTACTTTCAGTGTTCTCATCTGTAGAAAAGAGATAAAAATATTACTTATCTCACAGTGTTTCTAGGATGTTTAAATGAGATAGTTCATAATGTATATTTAGCACAGTATCTGAAAATGGAAAGCACTCAAGAAGCATTAGCTGTTATTCTCTCAGGAAATTTCTAGTAGAGATGGTGATTTTTATGTGTTTCTCTGCAAGTCAGAATTGGTGATAGGAGACTAAAAACTTAAAGTGATCTCCAAAATTTAGAGAGCAGATAAGTTCCCATCAAAAGATTATCTTTTTTGTCATTATTCTGAATTGGAAAGTTACGATACCTGTATAGAACATTATCTTTGACTTCTTATACTAAAACTAAATATACACCAAAAAAAGAAAGAATTATGTGTTCTTAACTAAAAATGTTGAAATGTTCAACAACTGACTGAAGAGCCATATTCAGAAAAAGATTATTTAAACTTGGAACAATTTTACAATCTTTGTCTCCATTAAGAGAATATAAAGAGCCAACCAAGTAGCACTGTTGAGAGAAAAAAAGTCGCTCCTTGGATGCATTAATATTCAGCAAGTAAACTTCCTATTATTGGACTCATTCCCCTCCCTCCCCTGCAATTCTCCCAACCCTTTCCAGCTGATTTCAGCTCATACTTCTGGTCCCAATGTAAACATCGCTTCTAGGAAACCTCAGACCCCCATTACTAAAGCAGGTCTTACAATCCTATCATAATTTTCATCATCATTAATTGTAATGACTTGTATCAAAGCATGTCTTTTCTTCTAAATCATAAGAGCGTAAGAGCTGCATTGGTCTTGGTCACCACAGTATTCCCAGGGTCTAGAATAGTGCCTACTCTATTGGCTGTGAATACATTGAATGTGTGTTACTGAATGAATATGTGAGTGAATATTATCCAACTTCCCTTTGACAAACACTTGTTGTTTCCTATAAACACAGCTCTACCTTAGGCATCTGGGATATAGAGATCAATATGAAGCAATTTTGCAGCACAAGAAGTTCACAAATGAGAGTCAATGAACATTGTGACACAGTCAAAGCTGGGCTCATACAGAAAGTACTAAGAGGCATAGAGAAGGACTTAACTCTGCCTGAGGTGTCAGAGGACACTTAGAGGAATGTTCTAGGTAAGAGCAACATGTTCCAGCTAATGACAAAAATAGCTGGTGTATGGAATTTAGCCAGTTCACTGTCAAAGTGTCTTGTGTCAGGAGGAAAATGGCTATTTTCCTAATTAACTTGGAAAAAAAGGTGCAACAAATTTCCTTTCTATTTAGAATATAACATTCATGCTTATAAGTTCTACACATGAAAGTCTATTTTTTTTAAATGTCATTCCCATATTTCTTATAATGTTTTTACTTTGAAGTTTAATAATAATTAGGAATTTCACTTTTAAAATACATACAAATAAAAAACTACATTTATCTTCAAAAGATCCCACTCCATGCATAAAAGCAATTTACTAAAGTCCTTGAAAACAGCACAAGAACTAGGTTTGGAAAGTTTCCTTCTACTGGATTCATTTTGTCTTTTTCCTATCAAATATGCTCTGTTTAATCTTCAAAATATCAGTTATGAAATGCCTTCTTGAATAAGGTATGAAGGTATATACTCCACAAAGATTTATATAGGTACATCTTATACATATGTAAGTATAATATGTGAAAAATTCTGAATATAAAATTTGATATATAAAAACTTTATATGATCATATGAATAAACTCTGAAAGTAAAAAAAGAAAAATTCTTGACCAAATAGACAAAATATTCTTCATTTTATAAAAGATGCCTACATGGTTCTTTTAAATAGCAAGTTCCTTTGCTATATTTAAAAATACAACTTCACTTTCTAAAACTGATTATATTGATTATAAACTTGAAAATCAAAGAAAACACTGTATAAATAAAACATCCAGAGGAGAAAGGGGAACAATCAAAATGAAAAGGTGCAAGAATTAAAAATTAAATTTTCTACAACTTTTATAATTAACATTAAATTTATGATTCAATTGAGATTTCTAGTATTTACCTCTGGCCACCCTTCTGTGTGTGTTTTAATAGATCATAAACATGTAAAATGCACTAGTACATATTAATTGATTCAATATATAATAACACGCCCTGGTATAATGGGGCTCTCAGGCTAAGACTGGGGGGTTTGGTTTTATTTATTTTAAATTGGGAAACAGCAATTTTTAATTTGAAAGCTCTTAAGAGATAGGAGCTTGAATTTAACTTTGGAGTCAATTGTTTTTTTTGTTTGTTTTTGGGGGGTTCTTTTTTGCAGGGTACAGAGTAGGATGACCTCAAATAGGTCCTAAATGTAGAAAGAGAAGCAGGGTACAGGCAGGCAGGCACTCCTTTAAATGTTTGAGATAGTTCGACTACGTAGAGCAAAAATGTTTTGTATGGTAAAAGAAAATCTCGTGGTAGAGGGACAAGTCAAAAAGCCAGCTGCTGCTATGTAGACTCAGGCTTGCAAGTTATAAGGATATCAGAAGAACCTATGGATTCAGAATGCAGGTGCATGTTTGTCATTGTAAACTATTGGCTGTGTTTTATTTCCCTCTCATTATCTTCAAACTCTCAGCAAAGTCTTATTAAAAATTATAATTTGGTTCCAGCCAAAGCAAAGTAACAAAGCCCAGATTTCTTTCCTACCTGAAACAAAAATGAATAAACTATATGATAAAAAAAAATGGTTATAAAGGCATTGGGCATCAAGCAATAAAGGACAGTAATCCCTGAGAAGTGAAAAATAATTGGGAGAAACCCTTTGATAGCCCCAGCTTACTACCTTGAGAAACTTTCCAGGCCACACACAGGAAGGAAAAACTAAAACATAGCCTGGCAAACTCTCCGAGCTGAAGAGACAAAGCTGAAAATCCAGGGAGATTATGGCATCTCAAGTACAGACAACAGAGAGTAGGAAAGAAGAAAACTACACAGAGAGAGAACTCAAGATCTGCAGAGGCTGCCAGCTGTGTATTCAGTTAAATAGTGGTCAACACATATATAGGAAGAAACTAACCAAGG